CTGATGTTGTTAAGAATATTGTTCTCAAGTTTTCATCTCATATAATTTTTTACAGTTTATTAAACATATGAAGATCCCAAAATGATCTCTAAACCATTGCATTTTAATGATACTTCAAATCCTAAATGTCAAACATATATATATATATATATATATATATTTTGTTACAATTTATTTATGATGTTTATATTGTCATTACAATTTTCTTATGTTGTATAACTTTTTAAATGCATTAAAGATTTTCAGTCTTTGTTTATTAGCACACTTACTTACTTTCCACCTTTTTGGTCGCATTTTTTCCTCGATATTTCATTATTAGCATATTCTATTAGAGTGTGTTTTAAAACGTAGATAAATATTTTATTGTACTTTCGTATTTGTTACCTTTTTTGCTTATTTAAAAATACGATGGACAAATTAATTTCTTTATTCATAACATAATTTTCAGACAAAAACCACCATCATGGATAAAATGTGATAATTGATGAAAGTTTGAGGATAAGAACGTGACCAAAAAAATAAAAACAATGAGCAAAAATTGAGAACCTTTAGTACAACTAAAAGTGGTGAAACAAAAAAAATATAATAAAACGTAACTTAAATTTATTGAAAAATACTTTATGAGAGCAAAACTGTAATTGTTGAAATCTTTTTAGAATGGTTATGTTGTCACTACAAATTTTTTATGTTGTGATATTAATTGTACTAAAATTCCTTAATCTTTGTTTATTATCGCACTTATGACCGAACCACTTTTTCCAGTATTTGTATCCTCAATCTTCCATTAATTATCATATTCTGTCTACATATTTTTTCATACTTTAAAATGAGAAAAAATATTTTTTGCACATTTTGTTCTTTTTTCTTATTCAAAAATATGATGGGCAAATATGTCCCTTGTAATGAATTTTTTGGACATCAACCATCATTAGGTACAAGATGTGGTATTTAATGCAAGATTGGATATAAGAATGTGACGAAATAAAAATTAGGGATATAAGTACGACAATGAACAAAATTTGAGAACTTCGATAAGATTAAGGGTGGTGGAACAAAAAAATAATAAAAAATATTGTGGTGGCAATATAACCACCAATCCGTTTAACCTAGTCATAAGCTACCAAGCTTATGAGAGCAAAATTGTAAATTTTTATACTCTTGTCGCTTTATCTTTGTTAGTTTTGCCTATTAATAATAATGTCTGATAAATAAAAAAATATATATCTCAACTGGTATTTTCCCTTTGTTTCTTTGTCTATTAATTCAATCTCATCTGCTGGCACTTCTCTGATACTTGGTTGGGACACCCATACATCAATTTGTTTGATTGTGTTACATGTAAATAATTATTTACATACACATGACATGATGTGGTAATATATGATTGGATCAGAATTTTTTCAACCAAAAAAAAAATCTTCTCTTTTTTTAACACATCATCTGTATGTAAATTACTGTGTAAATTGATGGAATGTACATTTAAAAAGTTGTGGATCTTATGAAATGTGTAGTTAAAATTAAATATTATTTTGAATTGAATTTTAATCCAATTAAAAAAAAAACCCCCCATGAAAGAGAATCTGGCAATAGAAGACCCGTGAATAAAAGAATGGGCCCATATAAATATTCTTTCATATTACTCAATTGCAAACAAAATTATTGTAATAAAAAAGTTGAAATTTCAGAGATATGGCAATCATAACTTCTCCAGTGTTTTTAGTCCTAACATTTAGGGTTTGTTTGGCGCGTCTATTTGAAAATAATTCAGTTTTAATTACACATTCTCTTCATGAAAGAATTTAAAACGTGAACCCGCAACTTTTTTTTTTTTTTACTCTTAACCATACACTCTAAAAAAATCATTTTTTTTACTTCAAATAATCTCTCCCAAACAAACACTTAGAATAAAGGCTGTAAATTTTTTTTTAGACGTGGGTTCCAAAAAATATGAGGATGATAAATTAATAGCAGTTAAAATTATGTGGATGAAATTAATATTTGATTTCGTTTAAATTTATAAATCATTTATAAGAGTTTGGGGTTCATATTTTAAATTCTCGTCAATTTGCAATTCATTTATTTGTTAATATTGAAACATTATATGATTTAAATATGAAAACACAATATTCTTTGAATTGCTTCTTTTTTCAAGATTCAATATATATTATTGTTAAAAGCAAATTTTAAATGATCATAAATATATATTTTTCTTTAACAATTTACATTTTAAGATCAACTGATTCAATATGATCAACTCTCGCAATCCCCAATTTAATGAAATTTTGCTCATGGTGTTATACTTCGATACCATTGTCAATTGAGCACAATTTTACACGTGATGCTAAGGATAAAATCATAGGTCGATGTAAGTTTATATAGTTAGGTGGATTGTACACACAAGAAAATAGAAAGCAAAAATCTTGTTTTTTGTTATCTTTCACTTGTGCCAATTTTTTTCATGACATATACTTCATATGTAAACTAGACACGGTGCCAAATAAATGCTTCACATATATTTCTTTCTTAACTGTATCTAATATAATTGTAAATGAACTGCTTGTTTCGGATTAAAATCAGATTTTAATATAAGTCAAAGTCAAACAATCAATATTAACCACATTTTTTATGGGTCCCACAACTTTTCAATCACACATTTCAAAAAATTCTATCACAATCTACTAAAAATTTAATTTTAATCTCCACCAAACACTCATTGAATATGAATAAAGAGACGATACAATTTATGTCCTCATCAATGTCCCAAATGTGTCGTGAATCTTGACTTCAATTTCCATCTCATAATGTGTACATAGTTTTTGTCAACTCAATTAAGTGTATTTCTTATTAGTATCATGATGTGTTTCATTTTTACTGCAAAAGGTAACATGTGAAACATCAACCTCACCTTATCTCCAAAAGCAAAAAAAGAAAAAGAACATGAATATTCTCAAATAAAAAGCTATACCCGAGTGGTTCACATGATAAGAAAAAAACACATAGGATTCTTAAGGATAAATATATTATTGAATGCACTCTCTTCAATATTCTCAAATACTTTTTAAACATAGTTTTATCTTCAATGCGCCCTTTTCTCATCTTAAATTTCATTGTCATCTAAGAGTGTCACCGTGCTTCGTCTATCTATGCCTTTGAGTTTAGGTTTGGAATATGAAAAAGAAGGGGACATTAGAAATCCCTATGGTGGAGTTTGGGTATGGAACTTTCACTATATGTTAGTGAGAGAAATGTCAAGCGTACCGCAAAAAGAAAAGAAGACAAACGAAGGGAAAAACCATCTTCAAATAATTTAAAATATATATATATTAAGATTTTCAAAATCCAATGTATATACTATAGATTTCACTTTGTGAATGGCATGTGAACATTGATTTTTGACTCAATTCCATAGACACAATTAGTGTCATCAGGAATATAAGAACTTTAGCATCCCTTAGCTCAATCATTATCTTCCTCAACTCCATAGATGAAAAGAAAATAATTACGACTTTTGTTGTAATAGAAGATAAGACATAAATAAGTAAATTTATTATCACTTAAAAGTTTAAATGTCTGCATGTCTTGTGTTTGAATGTTGTAAATACTGTCTGAGTAATGCCATGTAGCCCCCACTAAGGTTACAATTTCAGTTTAGATAACGTTAATGTGACATTAAATGATACGTGAAATTAAAGAAGTCGTTTAAATAAGTCATTTAATTTCACATTTCTTTAACCTATCATTTAAAGTCACCTAGACTTGGGGTTACAATCTCAGTGGAGTTAAATAACATTACTCATACTGTCATCAATCTCAAAAGTCCCATGTGTCGAGCTTTTAACCCAAAATAATTTAAATCTGCACACACTTTAAAGTTAAATTGCTTGAACTTTTTATTAGTTACTTATAATTCAATTATATAGCAGTTGCATTGCTTTGCCTTTAGGCTTTACCACCATTTATATAGCTTTTAAAATTTCTCAATCTCTCAAGCCTACTGCTTAGAAATTCTTCTATTTAATAATATAATTCCATTCAAATCATAACCCCTTTTTAGGATTTGGGTGTTTCATAGCAGGAATAAAGTAAAAGACAGAAAGTTCTTTAAAGAATGAATTCATCTTTCACAAATATTGCTCGAATAGCAAGTAACTTCCAATCTTTGAAAATGAGCAACTTGATCTTCAATTGCAAAGTCAGTTTGTGATGATGAAAATAGTCCAAAATATCCGATTTTGCAGCTATAAGAAAAAATTGAGGACCAACTTGCTTCCTCGGAAAATATTTGCTACTCGAGGAATGAGTTGGGATGCAATGGAACAATCTTCATTGAAATAAATAAATAATTAATTAGAATGTATGCCATGATAAATTCAATAAAAGTAGGGTTGGGAGGATTCTTTTTTTTGTTCTTTCCTTAGGCAACTATTTTCGTGGTTCTTAGCTTTTTCTTGCCATTTCTCTTACGGATATATTTTGCATATTTTTTTATAAATACTTGAATTTGCCACCCCCTTTCTACTTTAGTCTGGAAGTGTAATCATCACGTTCATGCAGCCGTTTCTTCCTACTGATAATTTCTTCATACTGTTCTCTTTATTTACACATATAGACAGGCTGATTGATTCAAAAGGGGAGATAATTATTGGGTAGTGGGGAGGTGTTATAGAAATTAAAAACCATTCTATTTTCTGCTTTCTTTTTTCATATTTCTGATTGCATGGAGGGTTCGAGAGAGTTTGGAAAAGAGATATCTCAATTATTTATGTAGAGTTTCTCAGACAAGTAATCAGCATCAGCATCATCATAATCTATTCACGAGTCGGAAATGAAAAACATGACACGACTGATGTTCAGAATGATAACGTTAGCGTGTTGAAAATTTTCAACTTTAGTTATATATTCTAAAGCAGGGATCAGCTATTTCTGCAGGGCTGTGTTTTTGTAGTTCGAAGGTATACAATTCAAGAATCTGAAATTGGATTGTTGAATTCTCAGTAGACATGTTTCCTTCTGTCGTGTCCAACCCTACTAATTCTAAGTCCGAGGAAGCTAGTATTTCTTCTGGCCCTAGGGTTCGTGACTATGGTAGCTTAAATTCAGTGCTACTAAAAACCCACAGTATTGTTCCAAATCAGCCACAGAAAATCAAGAAGAAGAGAAGCCTCCCAGGAAATCCAGGTAAATTTAATCGGATTACTTAATTAATTAATTTGTTATCATATTTAGTACTTAAAAACTTGTACATTTCTTCTCAAATTATAGTTAAAACTTGTAACGGCAAGTGGTCGACGTCTATGTGTGTGCTACGTTTGTTTTCGATTTTCATTTTATTCTTATCCTTCTTGTAAGAAGGAATTAGGGCTTAATTACCTTATTTTTTATGTACAACACGGTGGCGTAGATCCTGACGCTGAAGTGATTGCACTATCTCCAAAGACCCTTTTGGCTACCAACAGATTTGTTTGTGAGATCTGCAACAAGGGCTTTCAGAGAGATCAAAACCTTCAACTCCACAGAAGAGGGCACAATCTTCCATGGAAATTGAAGCAAAGAAACAGCACAGATAACAGAAAAAGAGCCTATGTATGCCCTGAACCAACATGTGTTCATCACCATCCGTCTAGGGCTCTCGGAGATCTTACAGGAATAAAGAAACATTACTGCAGAAAACATGGGGAGAAGAAATGGAAATGTGAGAAATGTTCAAAGATTTATGCAGTTCAATCAGATTGGAGAGCTCATTCCAAAACATGTGGCACAAGAGAATATAGATGTGAATGTGGAACCATTTTCTCCAGGTGATGAATGATCTCTTGAAATTTATTTATTTTTTCCCTAAATTTCTCTACCTTTGGTTTTATTTTCTTGACATGCAGTGTACCCTTTATTTTTTTCTTGGAGTTCGCAATTTTCCCTTGTCTATTGGTACATGATTTTATGGCAATTTTTCATTCTTTAATGGGTTCTAAACATTGTTTCGTGACTGTTCTTTGCACTGAACTGAACTGAGTCGAACAACATGTTTAGTCGACTCAAATTTGACAAGACTTAATTTGTTGTTACTCTTGTTACAGTAGTAAGCCCTGCATGTATATACATGTGACTTCAATAAATGGCAGGTTTCATTTTGTCCCACAAAATAATCTGTACACGTATATTATTGTTGAATACAACAAAAAAAATTCAAAGAAAAGAGCAGGAAGATGATAAGCATATTAGAATTTTCTTTTCTTTAATGTTGTACAGCAGTTAGCCTAAATGCCAAAATTATTGGCCTTTTCCTCTATTCAAGATTCGTGAATAGCAATAACTAGTAGTTAACCTGAGCTTTTATGTTTGGCTTGTGGAGTAAAACCATAAGCCTGATCGATAGGTTGTTTTGCGAGGGTAGAGTGTACGAAAAGGATGATAAAGAGTTAAAATCTTGTTCTATAATACCATCCAATCATCAGTAGAAAATCTTTTTTATTGCGTCTTTTTATGCAAAGTAAGCTTATGTTCAAACCTTTGTCATTGCACCGTCAAGTCTTAAGCTGTTCGTCGAATCTTCAATCGTGATAAGTAAAAATTACATTAATAGTTCATTACACGGTCGACGGGTACCGGTTAATATAAAAGTCAGAGAAGCTGGAATATCTTTGGGCGTTCATGGTGGAATCCATGTAAAAATTCTGAAAATGTGACATAAAAAACTGATAAACTGCACAAATATCTGGTATGTGGACTGGAGTCGGTTTCTTTGCCTGTCATCATACAAAGTATTACAAATTCTGATTTTAAAGTTGGAATTGAACATACAATTATCTTCGTTTATTGCATGAGCTCTATTTTCCAGAAGCTTTAATCATTATGACGCATGAATTTGTACACACTTTTAGGCAGTTATCAGTGGTATATTTGTACTCACACTGCATGCACAAACATTACGCAGTGTGACATCTTTAGTATTTCATAATGGCATCTTTTAAATACAAACGGATACTGTTTCTTTAACTTGTCACAATATCGTACTGTCCAAATGCGCATGCTTGCAAGGATATATGGTTCCTTATTCCAATTTTTAATAATAGTTGATATTCTAAAAGGCCTCCCTAGGCATTGGGTTCGGAGAAAACACCTCTCCTCCTCGCCTCGTGCTTAGGTGAAAAAATATACAGACGACTCTTAAGTTGTCGACGTATGTCTAAGGTGAGCCTGTGTGGAAAAAGTCCATGAGCAAAGTATTATTAATTTGGAGTATTTATAGTTTTGAGAATTATGTTTTTGTTGGACATGACTTGAGAAATATGTATAAATTTTCAAAGTAAGAAGTATTTTATTTATTTAAAATAGGCAAATACCTTATCATGCCTAGGCATCATAAGCACGAATAGGTTCGCAAGACTAAAGGCTTAACCTCCACGTCTTACGTCTTTTAGAATATTGGTATTACTGTAGTTCTAAAATTTGCTTTTACTTTGAAGCGTTAATAATGTTATTAATTAGTCATCGAAATTATAATGTTATTTCATTTTTGCAGCTTCGCTTCAAGTGAGTTATGGTCCCAAATATATGCAATATTTGTATGTTCTATTCACGAAAAGATTTTTTTCAATATTAAACTGTTAATATGTATTCTTTTTCAAGAAAATACATATCTGTTGTTCTGTGTAAAATTTTGCAGGAAGGATAGCTTCGTAACCCACAGAGCATTCTGTGATGCTTTAGCTGAAGAAACTGCAAGAATCTCAGCAAACTCCATACTCGCCGCAGCGGCACCACCACCATCATCAAACCCTAATGGCCAACCTTTCCATCTCCGCCCACACAGTCCTCCTCCACCTCTATACCTCTTCTCATCCCAACAGCGCCCCCTCCAAAACCCACCACCCCATACCCCCCTAAACCCTTGGAACCAGCCTCAAAACCCTAACCCTAGCCAAAACCAACTCCGTATTAAACCTGAAACCACCCACATTCCCGTGATCTCTTCACCATTTTATCAAGAATCTCACAAGAATCTAATGGCGTCACCCTTCCAGAACTACCACGTCAACGTACAGTCAGCAACATCCACCAGTGCCAGCGTGGCAGCCCTCTCAGCCACTGCATTGCTCCAAAAAGCAGCCACTATAGGTGCACATTCTGTTGGTCACTTGAGCTCTACCATGACCCAGTTCGATATGAGCACTATGAGGCAAGTGACCACCACAGGGGCCGAACCACCGGAGTACCTGGCATTCGCAGCTGGGAATCTTTCCACGTGGCAAAAATTTGACGGCTTGACTCGGGATTTTTTGGGGTTGACTGGTGAACAGTGCGGTGGCGGTAGTGATGGAGTGAATGGGAGGGACCTGCTATCGTTCGCTGAGGACGTAGAGTTCTCTACATATGACCATGATCACACACTGTTGAAGCATCAAGCCTTTGAACTTGCAGAACCCTATAACTAAGGATGCTATAACACCATAGCTACCAATCTACCGTAATTATCCGGACTTGAAATCGGCTTCGATAATATCAGAAAAGGAATTGTTGTTGCTGTTGATGGTGTAATGACATTTTCTTTTTCTTTTTTTTTTTGGAACTCCTAGGGTGCTGTTTTTATGCAATAAAATCAAGATTTTTCTGAACTTTGACAATTAAATTTTTTAGATTTGTTAGTTCGTATGCTTTACACAAGAGGTTCGAAATATATATATATATATATATATGAAGTAAATGAAAGTTTTTTGAAATTTTTCATTAAAAAACTTTTATAGGCTTCATGTGACTTTTGAATACTTTAACTTAAAATAGAATTCACTTTGGTATGGAGGCGCCAGTGGGAAGTTTCCAAAAGGTGGAGGTTCGATACTCTTCCCCATCCCCATCACCTCCCTCGTGTAATCAAAAGAGAAAAATTAAAAATATAAATACGTTAAGTCGCCTCAGGCCCTCAATTAGATAAATAAATAACTAAATACAAAAAAAAAATTATGATATTGGAGTACTTTTTGATAATTAAAAAAAAAGGAAAGAAATCTCTAATGTTCATCATTAATTGATCTTTTTCATGAAAAAAAAATTTGAAGAAGAGAGAAAAATGTTATAAGAATTTCTTATTATAATTATATTTTTTTTTATAGAAAATGTGGAGAAACGATGAAAAAAAGTAAGTAAAAGGCGAAAAAGGAATAAATATTAGAAAAGAGAAATATTATATTTTAATCGTGGCTTTAGGTTCGTAGAAGAGAAGATAAATGAAGAATAATGAAATGGCATAAGAACACATATTAAAAGACTTTTTTTCTTTTGTAAAGTCTCAAAATCTAGGGGTGAAAAGAGACAATTTATGAAATTTTATTTTTGTACTTTTTTTTTTTACTAAAATTTAGTGCCCTAAACTAAAGACTTTCGTAAAGATCTTTTAAATTGACATTGTGAGTAGTCGAGACTTTTAAAAACTTTAAAAAGTCCCGATTCCGTATCTTAAAACTTTTATAAAGTTCATGAAAATCTATATTGAAAATTAGTCAAAGAGCACACGACGTATTCGCATATTTCCAATCAAAACGTACTATAATGTACCAAAGAGTCCACACTTGTCTTCGTCTACCGTTCACCTTTTTCCCTTTAGGTTCTAAAACTCGTAGAATAATCGATTAAAAATTGTACACGACATTATCCTAATATTGAGTACTGATGAATCTAAAGCAGTATAGCCTTTTCCTAAAGAGGAATAGAGAGGCTGTAAAACCGGATCCAAGTGTTAGTATAAAAAAGTTGTTGCGGTGTGTGTTTGTGCAAGTTTTAGATAATGGTGGTCCGAGGGATGCTAATAGGTCAAAAAAGAGAGAAAGTATGAGAAAATTAAAGATGTTACAAATGTCAACGGCTATGAAAGAGACGCAAAATTGTAGAACTTGCCCTTCCATTTGGCTTCGCGTGGTGATTTAGTCATGTCTCCATCTTTTAAGAGAATGTATGGATAAAAAGTAGGGAAAAAATTTTGATATACATGTAGAATATTTTATTGTGTGAATGTGTGGTTGAAAATAATTATGTAACAAACTATAAAATAAAGTAAAGAGTGTCAAGCAGACCCTTGATATGATTTAAAGTTCAACCGGAACTGAAAAAGAACAATGAATATCCTCGCTCTACTACAAAACGTCCTTAAATAATACACTAGTCGTCTTGGAGTTCTCATTGCATCCCTATTCAAGTTTATATTACTTAGGCCAAGTATGGTCCATGTCTCGAATTCGAGTACAACAATGAACATGAGTTCATCGTCTTAGGGTTCATTAAACAACTGCCAATCTGAAAGGAACTGTGACTCATATTCAACATTTTGAAGAAACGATAAGAATCGTAAATAAGCCAGAATGAGCATATTAGATTCAAGAAGTATATTCAGCATCTCAAAGTTAAGCACACAATTAAGAATAGACCAAAGACTGCCTCGTTCTTGCTTTCTCTGCAGCACAAGTGCACAACCAAACAAACAAAAAGTTTATATTCCATTTCCCACCCCCCCTTCTCTCCCTCCCTCCCTCCCTCCCTCTCTGACTTGCACATAAAGGTCCAGATTTGGTCCGGGCCGGGCTTTTCACTATTTGCTTTCCTTCTAACTACAGTCATACATGCTCTGGTCCAGGTAAGCCCGGCTCTAGGCACAGACGGACCCGCACAAATTTACAATCCTGACCTACCTTTTATTCCTTTCGTCCAAAGCTAAATAATTGCCAAACCTTCTTTTCTTTGCTTTTATCAATTTTCCCTTCTGCAAATCCTTGTGCAAGTCAGTACTCGCACTTTTCCTTATATCCCCTGAGTTTCACCACAGCAATGAATAAAGAGCAAGGCAAATATCCAAGGTCCATTCAACATAATATTCATTGGCCCCACACAAAATGAAAAAGGAAACTAAAGAAAGAAAGGACTACTTTGAGAGGGATGTATATTCTCACTACTTTACTGATTTTTAGAAGTTGATAATGAATACGGTAAGCCAAGTGGCCAAGAAAATAACCAAAGAAAAGAAGAAGATCCAAACAGTTGCAGTAAGCCACTAGTTTCTCAACACAATGAACCAGATAAGTTTAGAACACTCCATTACTGATTTTTAGAAGTTGATAATGAATAGGGTAAGTGATGCAGGAGGGTCCGAGTCAGACGAAGCTGAGTTGTCAGATAACTCGTTGATGGCGCTAACGTACCATGAGTTGGCGGATCGACGTAAGAATGGAAAGTAATCGACGACATTTCCTAATTGGGGTCAATTTTGAACACGTTTTGGTANCCAGATAAGTTTAGAACACTCCATTGCGGAACAGCTGTCATCGTGTATAATAAGAACAATAAACTAAACCTTATTCTCAATAAATTTGAGATGAAGCACGTGAATCTGTTTCAACATTATATTCGATACACTGCTAAATATATGAAACAACTAAATCTTAAACAACTATAAGGAATTATGTTAGTTTTGGCCTATCCCTTCTTATAACTTGCTCTACTGAAATCACCACTCTTATGAAGGAAAGATGTTCAGGTCGATAAAAAACATGTATCGACCATCTTGAAGTGCACATTGCAACTTATGACAAAGCCCTACCATCTCTTGTATGCATCAATAAATGGACAATAAACAGCCGAGCAATTAAATTCCATGTCAGTGTTAGATTTGAAGTTTCTCAAAACTCTATCCTTTAAACAATTTCACAACATCAACTTGCCTCCAATCTGCATAACTATCATTGCTCCATCAGCAATGCCATATTTTTTTTAACGATTAGAAGGCTTCAAGGTTTCTCAAGGAACAGAAAACAAATTTGATACTAAAACTGCAAAAGGCTAAGATTTTTCTTTGTTATATGACAGAAACAGTGACTTCACGTATGAAGTGCTTCTCCATGAATAGTAAAGAAATCAATGACTTCAAATGACATAACTAGCTAATTAAAATATGCAATTTAGACAACTGGTTATAATATGAAGATACTTGAACATTTCAGCATAGCTGCATTTTAAATCATACAAAGCGAGCATGAGACTGAAAAGCATGAAATGCAATGGCAAAATTTATATGGGGCTCATATTCTATTACAGAAGGAACCACGGGTGTCTAAACCAAGAAAGTAGAACCACCATTGTCGATTTGAATTGATTTGCAGTTACAAGATTACCGAGGCAATCAACGTTTTTAAGAATAAGTTGGTGTCAGTTGATGTCTCGTCCAATTGATGGTTCTAGCCCATTAAACTTAGCACTTCCCAAATACTGATCCAGAACATTCTTGAATGCCTGTTGCAATAAGGAATACTTAACAAGAGTTATTTCAATCAAGTCATAAAAGGCACTTTACTCCATCAAAACACCTTTTATCTAGCTTATAAATTATGGAAGCTGCATTATTAAATTCAGAAATTCAAGAAAAGCTTAAGATTTTTCATAGAGTTTGATCAAGTGTCGATTATGAGGATGAAAATCACAAGAAAAGATGCAGATGGCAGATAACTTGTTCAGTGCCCACACATTGACACAAAAAGACAGGAGAAGAAAGCGTGACAGTTGAAGCCGTGATGTGATGTTGGGACAAGAAATGGAATGTATTAATCAATTAAATAACCAAAGTTCCAAGCATTCCAAATCTTCCCTTAGCTTGTGTAATAACCAGAAACTCCCTTAGGTTGATATTATGCATGCTAGATAGAAAGAGCTCATTTCTGCCCCCAAATTCGCAAAAACAAAATTTCTATAAAACCGATGAATCACCAAACTCTCTCCATCCCGATCACTAAGGGTTTTATCAGGGCATGGGGAGTAAAAATTAAAGAGAACAGAAGAAATTGTTGGAATACCTGACTTGCAAATGCCTCTTTTCCACTCAGAAGAGCATCCATGGCAGCAAATTGGTTATCAAACACGCTGTAAAACTTCTGGTAGAATTGATTTCTGTAATCATCACAATATATAGATCCAAAGTCAAAATTCTAACCTTTACAGAGATCAGAAAGAACCAATGAAGAACCATATAAGTACCGATCTTCTGCTGTAGTCATTTTATCAATTTCCTCAAATTTCCTAGTAAGAACTTCAGTACCCACGGCTGTGAGTGCATGCAATACTAAAGCCTCCAAAGTTCTTGGGAAATTGTGCTGGAAAAATGCAATCGGCTTAGTGGAGGTTGGAGGCAAGAACAAGACATAAATTAACAACAGGGGCAGCTTCAATCCAGTTAATTTATCAGAAACTGTATACTTATGCAACAAGTTTCAAGACATGACATGGCAGAAGTAGCAAACCCAAGCTCAAGAGATTCAAGAAAACAACTAGGACAATGAAATAAGCAAACAAATGGTTTTCAGACAAAAAGTATCAACAATTTTGTCAAATACTTTATCTAAGATTCCAGAAGTTGAAGCATTATTTACCAGATTTTACATATTATTAATAAGGATCATCATGTCAATAATGTTATTGATTTGAGCTTGTGGAATACCACCTGTATGCTACTGAGTCATCCATACCCCAAATTTAGAATAAAGCTGGGAAAAAGTACTAGATTTCAGGTCATCAAGGTCTTTCTCAAGGATGAAGTTTTTCTCCTTATATTACTTAATTTTCATCTTTAAACATTATCAGTTGTTTCCATGCCAAACTGACACTGAAGCTCTAATAACCTTCTACGTCTCTTTTCCAGAGTTCATCAGCTATATTGTGCAGAAAGCTAATTGATTCATACATATCCATGTGGAATTGAACAATTTGTACACAGGGACAGTGCATTGACAAGAAGATGAAAATGGCAAAGAGTACGCAGGACCATACAGAAAAGTAACACCTGCTCAACCAAGTTTTTTTCTTTCTTTGCTTTTCCTTTTTCCCCTGTAAGAAAAGAGGATCTTTATTGGTCGGAAAGATAGTATGAACTTACTGCCATGGCAAGAAAGACACTTTGAAGGATAAGTGGATGAAGAGTCCAAATAATTTGAGCAATTGGATCTTCTTCCAAGATAAATAAGTTTGATTTAACAGGTTCCTTGATTTCATCTCTCTCCCCGCTGACTGACTGACTCGATGAGGTTTCTGCTCGTTGGCACTGGTTGACATGGCCATGGACTAAAGAAATAAGTTCCTGAAGAGACAGGAGTGCACGAGGTTCCAGTTCACGCAACATAAACCTTTGCTTTAGCTTATTCTCTTTTGAACTAACACTCTGATGGTCCAGATTTGACTCTTCGTCACTGTAACCTGATGGATAAAGCAGTGTGTTCCAAAACAAATTACTAGCATGACCTCGGGCATAAGATTTTTCCCTTTGAAACAAATCAAAATCTAAAGACACATCACACTCGAAAGAAGAATATTCCAAAACAATCAAAGATTTGAAGTGTGGCCAGCATTCTCTTCTTAGAAATGAATTAAAACAAATTACCTGAAATCTCATTATTAGACTGTTCGCCAGATTTCTCGTTATTGGACTGTTTGCCTTCATTAGTAGCTAATTTAGTCAAAGTTGTCAATGGCTTGCACAGCATCCGATCCTGCCCTGATCAAATAAGATAACGCTGTATTTAGCTTCTGTAAAAGAGAGAGTACCAAAAGTATAATTTAGCAAAAAACAAAGTTTTATTACCCAAGTAATTGATTAAGTTAATCTAATCAACTCCGTTTAAACATGGAACTTAAACTCCACAGAGGCAAAACAATGAAACATTTTCAGTAGGAACAATAGCAAAACAATTCATGTTAACATTGTGGAGAATATGGGAATGAACCAGTTGACATAAACAAAGCTCAAAAAGAACAATTCATATTAGAATAATACTATTTGTAGTCGCTCACTACCGGTCGCCCTACGTGGCATACATGTGGCGATTAGTGATTTGATACATGAGGCAATAAAAACTACAACATTAATGCATCAAATTACTAACCGTCATATGTATGTCGCGTAGGACGGGAGAGAGCGACTGCAAGTAGCATTACTCTTCATGTTAACATTGTGGAGAACATGGGAAAGAACCAGTTGACATAAACAAAGCTCAAAAATTTGTTCATTATGTGACAACCAAAATTTCTCAGCCCTACGAATTATTCTATATCAACTTCCTTTCATTTGTTTAGTGTCAAAAAAAAATAAATAAATAAAGATACCCATCCCAACAACTACATGGAATCAGTTTCTATGTTTAATTTGTTCCTTACAGGATATATGTATTACTATCGTAGTGTTTAAATAACTTCCAAACTCAACCAGGAGCAAGTATTTTTTGATGCAATGCATTTGGTCCCATAAAGCACAGCTCCCTGGCTGACTAATAACCAAACTACGAAATTTGCACATAACTATCACCTAACATGTGACGCACACATCCCTATTAATGTAACTGCAACCTGTTTGAGCCTAGTAGCACCTTGATTAATCTATTCCGACCTATGAATATAGTCATCCATCAAAAAACAATAAATTAGACAAGCACGTAAAATTTGGAAGCATATAACAAATTGCAGATAAGTTCAACATAGGCCACCATCAAGTCAACACCGCATAAAATTAGAACCCTGCATTATTGACTTTGTACGTAAAATTAAGTAAAAGCTACGTACCATTTCTTTGTCAGTCAATCTTTGATTTTGAATCGAGCGACCACAGAGAGAGAGAGAGAGAGAGAGAAAGAGAAAATAATTAGCTCATTTTGTATTAGCTAACTCATAACAAAAAGAAAAGGACACAAATTACCTTTTCAAAATTCTGCGCAGATAATATGCATCCATGTGCTCTAACATGCCAGACATCACATCTGACCGCCACCAGAAATTGACAGCAATAGTTAAACTTCCACTGTCCACTTGGTGAAACCTGTAATATTAGGAGTTTCAGGCAATCTCAAAATATACTTTTTGAAGCAATTTTTTGCAGTCATCTGTTGATCCATAAAATTCTTGAAATCAATATCATAAAATTGATGGGAGTAACTACGCGTATTTATAGATTTGCATACGAAATATTGTTTTCCATATGTTACCGGGTATAAGCAATTGCTATTACAGCTTCACTCACCCCAAAAGAGGATGGAACTTGTAAATGGACATAAAAAAGCAATCATCAACAATATGGCAGTCATAGAAAGTATATTTTCTTTACTCCCCCTCCCCCACAAAAGAGAGAGAGGGAGATAATGCAGAACATTTTTAAAACCATCAGAAGCAAAAAATTAAAAAATAAAAAAGATTACCAGCCCTCTGGGATGAAAAGAGCATCGCCTGCATGGAGAATAACCTTCTGGGAGTACTTATCTAACTGCTCTGCCCTTGGATGTACACAGAGATCTGGGTTATCTAAAGCAACGGAACTGAACAGGAGGAAATAAATATGACAATCACCGCAAGGAAAAAAATTTTAAAAATCCAACTAATCCAGGAACCAACTTCAAAGATAAGAAACATGCCACTTTCACTAGTTAACAAGAGAATCGAAATAGCGGTTGTTACGAACCTGTGATTCGAGGCTTCTCCATATAAAGCCATTGGGTATAAGGAGGGACTTGCAGAAGGTGGCCACAGGACAACTGATAGGACAAATGATTTTAGTAATAACCAGCAGCATACAGACACATATGCAAGATTAGATGTATAATTGCCTAAATACGTTTCACGCACAGAAAAGCTGATAATAATAGTTACACAGATAACATTCTTCATCTGTAACCAGCAAAACAAACACGTTAATTCTTGACATCAAAATCGGCCTACAGTTAAGATGTCCACGAATCTCCATGTGAGGTAGATTTTTGGGGACTAACCTGCCTTGGTTAAAGTTGAGTTTTGGGATAGGATTTGCTTGAGCAATGCTCAAGCAAATCCTATCCCAAAAGCTCATAACTTTAGACGAGGCAGGTGAATCCCCAAAAATCTACCACACGTGGAGATTCATGCACATCTTAACTGTTGGTCAATTTTGATGTCAACATTAATCATTCATAATATAAAGCAAATGCAATAAAAAGGTATTTTATTTATCTTATTTCTCTCTAGCAAATGTGCGGAAGTATTATTAATATATTGCATAAAAAATACTTCTGCACAATATATAACTCTGTCTCACATTGTTTGTCACACTGCCTTTTAGCACAAAGTTAATCAAATCTCAACTTTATGCTTGGAACCTCATAACCTGAATTTCAAATTAAAATATGATCTCCACTTTCTACATTGTTTAACATGACTTTTAATAAATGGGTATCATTATTCTCCATATTCTATAACTAACTTCAAATGGAAAATTAAGTAACTTTGTTTTCAAGTTTGGGCAATGACGTTCTTTTCAACACGTTAAAAAATAGTGAATGTGAAGATGGTAAAAGTTCATCCCATAAAATTATAGGGATTCATATTTTTCAAGAATGAAAACCAAAATAGAATATAGCACTGAAACAGCTTAAATATTGGAATTTGATCTATAGTGTCCAAGAACCTATCATGCAAATCATTGACACTGCTATAAAATCAACAAACGTGAAATTGTGAATCCTGATATATGTATAATTAACTGTAAATTATTAACGTCGGAGTACAATATCAATATACGAAATGTGGTAATTGGTGGGCTTAAATGAATCAAATTTATCAATTTTGTTGCACTTATATTAAAAATTCATCAGCAAACTTGAACAGAGTTTTCATTTCCTAGGTACCGGACAACAGGAAATAACTGACAGCACATGTAAAGAGTACTTGGCAACCCCTCTGTCATCAAGCAAAATCTTGCACATTCACATACATACAGAAAAACAACTAAAAACAAATGCATAATGTCAATAAAGTTGTACTAATGGATGGAATTTCCAAAACCTTGTTTACATCCTGCAATAACGCATAAAAGATTGTGATTTGGATCATAATGAGTGCTAGATCTAGATTGAGCGTTGTTCATCCATAAATTGATCGATGACAGTGTTTTGTCCTCCAAAAATGCAGGCTGCATGAGAGTGAAAAAATACAACTATAATACATACCATGCTCATTAGTCAGGCCAGAAGTTGAAAAGAGTAAATGCACTTGTGACATACATACCTTTTGAATGTCTTCTCCAAGACATTTCAATTGAACCCTCTCCTCATTCTCAATATTCATGATTGGTACCTGAATATTTTTGGATCAAAATAAGTACAGAGTAAAAAACACTATTATACTATGGTGAAGATTATTTAGAGAAATAGTACACAAACAATACAGTGATCAACGTATGCAAAAGTGAATAATGCAAGAGTATCCTACTATTTTTAAGTGCCCAAAAATCTTACCTGTGCTAGATAAATTTGCTGTGGAGCTTCTTCTCCCATAAGGGGATTACTTTGCTCAGAAACAGGCCCTGCTGACATATGCTTCCTTGAATCAGAAAAAGAATCTTGAACAGTGTCTCCATTTTGTAAAAGATCCTTGCAGTATCCAGCAAAGGTGGAAAAAGGAATAGGAACCTATCAAGATTGGGAAAAAAATGAGAAGAAAAAAAATCATCCAATAAGACTAGCAGTTTGAAGTTTCATATTTTAGAAATATTTATTAAAAGCAAAAAGTTACCCTTTCATGACTTCTAATGTCTCCATAAAAAACAGGAGCAGATGTAGACAGCATAGCCTCAACAACTAACGAGCCTACCAGTTCCTATTTGGCATTGTAGAAGAAACAAAAACAGAGAAAGCAAGTTTAAAACTCAGATAAAGCAGAAATATTTATAATTTCACAGTTACATGAAGAACTCCCATCCTACATCTGAAACGAGTTGACATTCCATCTTGTCAAAGTTCTGCAAGCCTTCCCTGGGAACTTTATCAGATGAAATGTGCCAGTCATGAATTTTTCAAATTATGCACTTCTAATTGGAACAAGATGAAACTTAACCAAAGCTTTCACGCTTTTCTAAATCAATTTCAAATATCAACATAAGACATCCAAACAGTTGGAAAGCGACAAAAATGCAGGAGCATGCCAAACGCAGAAAATTTGTCTAGGTTAATTCATCCTTATTTTCAGCACCTTAAGGTACTAAAAAAGCATGAGCCAGAAATTTTTCGCCCTGTAATCAAAACATACACGCACCATGTGTTCCAGAAACGTTTTAACACAGGTCTTCATATATGTAAATATAGTTGATTCAAAAGCACGAGTTCTTTGCAATACTCATAAAGATGTAAATACACACAAATAAATATAGAGGACCTGCAGATAGTCGAGACCACCATTCGAGGGGTTCCATTTAGAAAAGGCCTTCCAATTCTTAATACATCCGCTGAATACCTTTCGAATAAAACTTAATAAGTACTTTAATCGAAGAAAAACAACATTTACATTAAACAGAAAACGCGAAAAAAAAAATTATGCGCTTGTAAAGTGCTCGTGGACATTGAAATATTACAGCTGGAACATTTCTTGGTTCAATCAGAGAAGCGAACTCTTCGGCTGACGGAATTTCATTGAATCGGCGGATTCGCACAGACTCTTCCATTTCTACTTTTTGCATACCAGAGCACGTTGGAAATGAAAAGGTTTTTAATTTCTAGTTCGATGAGAAGTTGCTTTTTTTTAATTATATTCTTTAAAACTCAGTTTTTCACTTTTTCTAAAAATTATTTTCAATCGTATGTTTTGATGATAAGATAATTTTATGTATAATCCATGTTTGACTCTATTTAAATTAAATTTTTTTATTTCTCATATTAATTTTTAACTACTATTTTTCTTTATAATAGTCATCAAACAGGGGTATAACTTTACGCCCTGTTTGAGGGGGATTAAAATCAGATTTTTAGTAAATTTTGATAAAAGATGATGAAAAGTGTGGTTGAAAAGTGATTAATGTCATAAAATATATGGTTAAAATTAATTGTTGCTTTGACTTAAATAAAAATTTGAATTTTAGTAGGTGTTTGAGCCACATTCCTTTTTAAAAATGTATTTTTGAATAGTAGATTGATAGAAAATATGTGGTTAAAAATGAAGGAAAATATTTTGGTTTACGTGTAACATTATTTTGATGAATAATGTGTGATTGAAAAGAAAAGAGAGAAAAATGTATTTTTTAAAAATAGGAATCAAAAAAAGCTTTAATTTTCACCAAATGGGGGCATCTTTTTTTACATACTCTTTAACCGCACATTCTCTAAAAAATTACTCATTTTACAAAATATTCTTAAAATTAACATATCATGGGGAGTTAATTGTCCCAATAATCTAGTAATTAGGTTGGCGTAATCGATTGTTTATTGCACTTTAAGATGTCGAGTTTTGATTTTTCTCAAAGTGTCGGACGTTATTCACTGATATTACTTATGTTTCGCATCTCTAACTGAATAGTAGACTTGGCAAACGGATTTAACAGCTAAGGCCCCATGGTCGTTAGATGTCCAATCACGAAAGAGGACAATTCACTCAAGAAAAGCATCTTTGATTACTGACTATACTTTGACAGGCGTATTTGATTTGCTGAATATATTTTGACATACGTCTTTAATTACTCACTATACTCTGAAGTCTGAACAGGTCGAGTTTTGGCCACTAAGAGTGCATTTGGTTTGCTATTTTCGAGTCGTTTTCAGTTTTGTAAAACATTGAAAATGTGTTTGGTCCGTTGAAAATAAGGATAAATTTATAACATTAAATTCAAAACGTATTTTTTGACGTTTTGAATGTTTCAGTTAAAATTATGAAAACACTCAAAATTTGGAAAACAAACATTTAAATAAAATTTTAAAAAATAAAAATCTAAATTCTAACCAATAAAATTAATAAATTGTAAAAAATTAAAATTCAAAAAGGTAAATTTATAAAAATAAAATTGATAAATTCTAAAAAAAAAA